ACTGTAATTTTATTTTTATTTTTATTTTTGTTTTTTCAGGATAATCTGGCTGAACTTCAGCATTACAAGTCTCTATATGAATTATATAAAAGTAAATACGAATTAGTTTTGAATCATAATGTTAGCTTAGAGGTAAAGTATAAAAATGATATTAATTTTTAATTTATAAAATTTATATCTTACCTTTTCTTTGTTAATTTCTAATAATAGAACAAATTGCAAAAGTACTCTACTCCAGTAATGGCGGAAAATACGCGTTCAAGTGACACAGCTGGTACAGCTGATACTGATTCTAATGTTGATGAATCCTTAAAGCAACTGTTAAATTATTCAACACCCGAACGTTCCCTCTTTGAATCTTCAACATCAACTCCTCGCTCATCATTATATCGCGAGTCTAATAACTCGGAACTTGCCCGCGTTATAAACTGTGATTTGGCAATGAACAATCTCACAACTTTTGATATAGCAGAAAATATTTGGGCAAATTTAAATCTGCGATGTATTGAAAAATTTGGTAACCAAAATCACATAAAAAATAATATTACTATTTCAGATATAACGTGGGCCAGCATGACATTGCCAGCTTATCGCAGCTGGAATGCGATGAAAGATTATTTTGATTATATTGATAACTAGATGACAAAAATTAATAATTTCTGTAAGTCATATTTGTCAATCATAGAATTATTCTTGATTACAAAACTTTATAATAATTTACATCTTAATTTTATAGGTAATAATGATTCTCAGACTGCTGATATTTCAAATTCAGACTCTATAATAAGAGAATCAAGCTACCATAAAAGTACTGAATTGAATTTACCTCTACAAGCGCCACAAGTAACTAATGAAAGTGCCAAATTGAATTCACTTTCGCAATCGCTACCAGTAGCTAATGAAAGTGCCAAATCGAATTCCCTTCACAAGCGTCACCTGTAACTAATAAAAGTGATGAATTGAACGTGCCTCCGGTAGCTAATGAAAATAATGAATTGAATTCACCTCCACAAGCATTACTGATAGCTAATAAAAGTGCCGATAATGAAAGTACCAAATTGAATTCATCTATACAAGCTCCGCCGGTAGCAGTACCGGAAAAAGTATCAGTAGAAGCACCGTCAACAAAGGCACCAGTAAGATCACCCACATTGAAATTAGCAGAAAAAGTACCCAGTGCAGAAGTGTTTGTAGTAGTAGAAACACAAACTTCAAAAATGAAAACGCCGGTGGAATCACAAGCATTAGTTTCAGAAGTGTCAGAAGAATCTCAAGAACTAGCATCTACATCAACATCATTAGTAAAAAAACGTAAACTTAACTGTGTTGAAATTTTCTCAGATAAGGATGTTGATGAAAGTGACCATGATGATAAAACTATTATGAAAGAAAAGTTGAATTCTGCCCACACAGGTCGAACAGATGTCATTGTCGCAAAATTTGCCTGGAATTTTTCTGGCAAATTGAGAATTATCCCAGTAAATTGGGGTAAATTGTGTTACAATTTTGGGATAATGGAGGACTTACAATTTGGCAAATTTTGTCAAAATGGCGGAATTCCTACAGAATTCCTAATTTAAATGTTGAGAAATTTTTCAGTAAATTATCATCAAATTGTGGGAAATTTTAGGCAAATCTTTAGTAATGATATGCAAACAAAGTGCAAATTGTGGTGAATTTAGTTAAATTTTTAGTAATTTTATGCAAACGTAATGTAAATTGTGGTGAATTTTAGGCAAATTTTTAGTAATTTTATGCAAACGTAATGCAAATTGTGGTGAATTTAGTTAAATTTTTAGTAATGTTATGTAAACGTAATGCAAATTGTGGTGAATTTAGTTAAATTTTTAGTAATGTTATGCAAACGAAATGCAAATTGTGCTGAATTTTGTTAAATTTGTAGTAATGACGCCAAATTTACCAAATTTGAAATAAAAATTGTCAAAAATATTACATATATTTTGATATTTATTATATAATCCATTAATATCCCTACATATTCTTCCTACACCCTTACTGTTCTTTTTCTTTTTCTTTTGAGGTTCTCTTAGGAACATTATCATGAATATGTTCCTGTTCTTGGGACGATGGTTTGGATGATGATTTTTTATTTGTTTTTTTCGATTGATCACGCATG